CACTCTCAAGTCAGTCTTGAATCAAATTCATCAACGTTTCAAGCCTTATCGCAATAAGTTGCACTGCATAAACGCCGTTTGGTGCTAACCGACTGCCTGTGACTGACTGGCAAAGTTTGTTTGGCAACTTGTGATGGACGTCGGTTGGGCAACAGTCACGATTTGCATGTGCGACAACTGTTGCCAGCGCACAACAAACAGCAACAACAGCAACAAATCGCGAGCACATTGAACTGTCATTGACACGGCAGCAACGGGGCACACGGACAGAACCTGGCTCAGCACAGACCATCAGCAAAACGCGAGACACCTGTAACTGAAGTTGAAAGGCAAAAGGCAAACGATGAATGCTTGGGTGGTGCAGCCGTAGCCGCAGCCGCAGCCGCAGCAGCAGCAGCAACTGTTGCTGATGGGTGCAGCAAACAGTCGTCAGACGTTGTATAGTGTTTCGTAGTCCGGGTTCCCAGTTTTGCTGGCCAATTACTGCAAACAAATTCGAATGCGAATGCGCATTGAAAATTGTGGCAAGGTTGGTAATTTAAGACTCACGCCGCGAGACCGAAAAGCTCGAGCGCCGAACCAAAAACCGAGAATCGAGAACCGTATTTTTTTGTCGCCATTCGCTCGCAGTTGCTGTTGTTGTTGGTGATTGAATTGCTGATTTAACGGTTGCTGTTGTCAAATTAATGACATTCATTCAATTCATACCATTGGCAAACGTGGCCAAAACGGTAGTTTTTATTGCTTGGCAAATTGCAATCACCAAACGGAGCGCGCGTGTTATTAAAGTTGTTGCTGCTTGCTGTTGCTGTTGCTGTTGCTATTGCTGTTGTTGTCATTGTCATTGCGGCTGTTATTAATGTAGTTATTAAATATTTACAACTGCCGCCGCATAAAGCGTGCCAATTGTGGGTGCAGTGCGGCGGCGCTGCACCACCTGGTCCTGGGGGTTACCCAACCGATGTCAAAGTGCAAAAGTTTAGCGCAAAGTTCTTGTCATTATTTGCAATCGTTTCGTTTCATGCGGTTTCATGCCGTTTCATTCCGTTTCCGCTCCTTGCTGCCAACGCGCAAAGTGAAAGGCAACTCTAGTAGAAGTAGAATCGTAGCTAGACCTCGTTCTGTGCCGCTTTAATTAATGACTGTTTTATATAATTTAATTAGTTGTTAATGATTTGCTGATTGGCTGGCACGGTAGGACCATGAATCAAATGCTAAGTGAGTGTCGCCCGCTTCTCAAGTCATTTTTTTTTTTCGGCTCTTGGCTTTTGGCTCTTTGGCTTTTGGGTGGGCTTGGCAGATGTCAGGGTTGCCGCCTGTCTCAAGATAGCGCAACTTAAAAACATGGCGCTAACTAGTTAATTAGTTCGTGGCCAAGCGATACCAGCTAATGGCCAAAAATAAATCTCTATATAATAGTTAAGAGCATAACAAAAGCAACAAGCCCCATGGGTTATGTAGTCATTATTAGGATATGGCAACTTTTGAATTGAGCTGCTGTAGAATGGCTTTAGCAAGCGCTTGGCAAAACTCCCTTCAGCTAAGCCAACTCAAAAGAACAAATCATGATTCTGCTTAGACTATCTCAAAAGCCCTTTTAGCCTATCTTATCAGCAACTGAAAACATTGCTCAATTCTGCCGGCTTCAATCATGACTCAGACTTTCTGCTTTTGCACAATCAATGCGAAATTTGGTCACTCGCTTCTAGAAGACCTCAAAGCCCCAAAAAATTTCGATTTCAAGTTAAGGCCAAATCGAACATAACAGTCTAGACAAAATGCTTGTTGTTTCAGTACGAATCTTGAGTCGCCCAAACTGAACAGGCGACAACAACGCCAACAGTCACTTGCCACAGCCTTGCAATTTGGCTATGTTGTGGCATGAGTTGCATATTTAGCATGCGTAAACTGCTAAACTGCTCGATAAAAAATAATTTTAGAAATAGAAACCACCAGAAAAACCAACATCGTTTGCATGACCAAAATGCGAATCAGTCTCCGGCTTGGCGCCATAAATTACAATTACAGTTAAGAGACGCCTTTATCGACCCTCGATTTACTCGCCAATTAGTCAAAGCTTATGGGAGTGTAGGCGGACTTAGTTAAGTCCACAAATTTCTATGACAGATGTGCCGATGATAGCGTCCATGTGCCGCCACGATAAGGTGGATCCAAATTGTCGCCAGCCGGTGGCTTAACGCTTTCATGCGAACGACCTGCCAATGTTTGATTGATAATAGAGCACTAAGCCAACTAAGTCTAGCCAGAGCAATATGCAATATTCCAATTCTCAGCTGTTCCAAAATTTACATCAAAACTAACCAATATTGCTGTGAATGTGACTGTGTCTGTATCTGTATCTGTATCTGTATCTGTATCTGTATCTGTATCTGTATCTGTATCTGTATCTGTATCTGTATCTGTATCTGTAT